AAATACGGAATTTGATGCACGAGAAAATAGTGCATATTGGAACGTGAAGAAGGGAGCGAATTGCACGTGGGGAAAAAAACGACGCCTGATTTAAATGTCACACCTGAACGCTCACATCCTTTTAATTATGTTTGAAATTATGAACATTGCTCAACATCATGAAAATTAAACCTTATTTTCAATAAGCAATCCTGAAAAATATTTGGGGGTGCTTAACTTTTTTCCAGGTGTATATATACTGTGCATTTTCTCCTTACTCCCCTCCTCTTCCTATGAGGAGGAGGTGAGTAAAGAAGCCGTTTACTAGAATAATAATTGGTATGGTGTAAATACTTTTTGTTGGTAAAGATTGATTATAATTGTTTACTTTTCATAAGTCAGTAGTATTAGGCATATTGTATTTTGAAACACTACAATCTTTATTTAGTCTTCTAGGGTTGTTGATCTCAGTTAGCCTGATGAACTCTGGTATTGAGCAAAGTGAGTCATTGATAATAGATATGGCAGACAGTGTGGTTGAAATTCTACCATACCCTTATTTTCAAGAAAACTCCTTGGGAACTAAATATTGTAGTGTTTAAAACTACAATAAGCCTGATAATGTTGTTTTAAGACAAATGTAAATGATTTCAAAACTATAAACAACTTCTTAGATTCATAATAGCATCTTTCTTCACTTGCATGTTTTAAAGTGCATTAGTGCCATATGTAAAGGTTGAATGCTGTGTTTTTAGAGATAGTACCCAACTAATTAGACCCGAGAACTTATTTTTATAGTTTCTGATGATGTTTTTCTTGTTGCTGATACTGAATTTCTTATATAGTTTTTCTTTGAAAGTTACTACAAAGATTTATTGTATACGTAATTCATATCAAGAATATTTTCAACTAGAGTATGTAGACCTAAAGGGTTGCCCATTGTCTTGGTGGGCAAAACAGTACATAAATATTTGAAGTTTTAGAATAAAAACACAAACATAACTTTGTGGCCACATTTAAAAAATTTTAAGCATACAGTAAAAGACAAAACCACACTGTTCAGTTGACAAACCTGGCCCTCAAAAGGTTGATACGAATGATAGGAGGGAAATTTTGTTAAATCATTCTAATATGGCAGTGAATAATATAATAATAAAATAGATAAAAAGAAATTGTAATTTTGAAGTATGTGATACATTGTTGTACCTTTTGGTTAAAAAATATAAAATTTTATAAATTATTTCAATGGCATTTGTAAATTGAGTTTCTACGATACATAATGTTTCTTTTTGTCTTTTTTTACAGAGAAAACATTTAAAGGGGCCATATGAGATAAATTTAATGGACGAACTGACTTTGAAAGGTGTGACTCAGTACTATGCTTTTGTACAAGAGAGACAAAAGGTTCATTGCCTCAACACACTGTTTTCAAAGGTATATTTATAACTTTTGATTCAAGGTATTTCCTTTATTTAGTTACTTAAATACTGAATTTAAGTTATTGTAAAATGAACATACAAGCCTTATGTACGTTAATATGTGATGAAAACAATTGATTTTGGGAAATGTTTCATGGCCCTGTATTCATTAAAAAGTCCTAAGTATTTTATATGCACCTTGATGGGAGAAAAAACATAATGAGCAAGGTGAGTTTCAAAACTTAAAAATATTTAAATATTAAACTGAATCACGTGTACTATATAATGAAGTGTAAAAAGCCCCAAAAAAATAATGCAGTAGAATTATAAAAATATTTTCTTCCTGTAAGTTCCTTCAATGCATGTGTATAAATAATCATATCTAAAAACAGTATTTTGTACAATTTTATTTTCTTTCAAATCTGCTAGTTACAAATTAACCAGTCAATCATTTTCTGCAATTCAACTCAACGAGTGGAACTTCTTGCAAAGAAGATTACAGAGCTTGGTTATTCTTGCTATTACATACATGCAAGGATGTCTCAACAACATCGTAACAGAGTCTTCCATGATTTCCGTGCTGGTCTATGTCGCAATTTGGTCTGCTCTGGTAAGTAACAAATAGTCAAATATTGGCCAAAATAAATTTGAAATGATCTAACCTTCTTGTGTTCATTTGTGATGTATTTGAATCATTCTGTACAGACTGCCTGGTGGTTCGGGCATGTCATATCCGATATTCTATTTAAAACTGAACTATAACTAAAAAATGAAGAAAAATAGATATTGGAAAGATATTTGGGAAAACTTATGATTTTAACTTGTTCTTTTTTATTTATTTATATATATAATAAAGGCCTTATTTAAGTGTATCAGGTGTTAAATGACTAGTGTTTGGATATTTTGAACATAGTTTTCTAATTAACTACTTTTACAACCAGCTTTTATAAGTTAATTTAAAATGACACAATGAGTAAGCTCCAGGATAGGCTGTGTTCCTGGAGAAATGGTTGATGGACAACTAATCTCCTGCATGGTTTACATTGTTGCTCATGAGACCACTATATTTGAAGAAAATATAATCTGTTAACAACATTCTTCAATCAGATTTGTAAAATTAGTATCAGTTTCTCAATGACTGCTTATTTCTTAAGAATGTGCATTACCACTAGACTAAGCTTCAGTACAGATTTTAGTGTTAATTTCCTCACAAATTTCCACAATATACAGAGGTTGAATGTTATTTAAAATTATATCTTTTATCCTTATCACGTTATTAGTCCCTGGTGTAGCATCTTGACAGTAGTTACAGGGTAGCGTCCTTTGCAGAAGGCTCTCTCATATTGCTGTCACATCTAAATAATAACCCTTCATGTGACTTTCTGTAACTTGTCTAGTGTAAGAGGACAATTGTTTCCCATAACTCATTTCAGCAGTGTTATCACAATAAAATCCAAAGGCACTTGACCAGTATGTCTTTGCATGTGACTTGTCACTTTTCCAGACTCGAATCCTTCTTGATTATGTTCTTTACTGTTGCCTGGGGCATGTATGGCTTTTGCCACTGACCTTTGTGTTTGTGGATTCTCATTTGTTAGTAGATGCCACTCTTTGCTGACTGTGATTAGAGTACAACTTGTTGCAGGTCTCTTTTTTGGTTTGTCCTGGTACCCTATGTTGATCCATATTCCTTTTGTATTACAATGCCATTAAATATAAGGGATGTCCTTGCCTTGGAAAATTTAAATACCCAATCTGTATGAATAATTTGGATCATAAAGGACTGTTGCTTACCCTTCCCATGAGTAATCAATTTTTGGTGGCATCTCGCTACTTTTGAAATGCCTAGCAATTTTGAAAAGTAGTTTTAATATAAGCTTTATATCAACTGTGGTTGTCATGTGACTTGCTAATTTGCTTATTCAAAATTTTGGTGAGTTGCTCAACTGTTTTTGTACAACTGGTTATTTCATAAGATATATTTTGTTGTACAATTGAATGTATTTCGTATTAGATAGTTACATACAAATTAACCATTCTATCCTTTTTTGTTAAGGAACATGATTCCACTGGAACATCAAGTGTAATTTTAACAGTGAGCAATTTCAGTGTTTCACAAGAATTGTTTTCAACCCATTTTTTTTTATATGACATCATTGTACAATTATTTATGTACTAGCTGGAGTACCTGTCTGAAATAACTTTTTCTTAACAAAGGATGGGAAATTGTGCTTATTGTTTATTATGTTAAGGAAAAAATAATAATAATAAAAGTGCAATAAAAATACATAAAGTACCAACACTGAAAAGAAAGACATACTGTTTTCAAGAAATCTAACAATAGTGGTTACATAGTTCATTCTAATGCTGAAGGATATACAACATTGGTAGTTAGATATGAAATTTGATGTTTCTTTAAATGTATTGATCATTCACTTGTTTTATTTTTCAGATTTGTTCACAAGAGGTATTGATATTCAAGCAGTTAATGTGGTCATAAATTTTGACTTTCCTAAAATGGCAGAAACCTATCTGCATCGTATTGGTAGATCTGGTCGATTTGGACACCTGGGTATAGCTATTAACCTGATCACTTATGATGATAGATTTTCATTACATCGTATTGAACAAGAACTTGGAACAGAAATAAAACCAATACCTAAGGTACAAAAGTTTGTTTATGGCAAATTTCTTTTTAGGAAAAACTGAGATTAAGAGGATGTGACATAAATTTAGTGTGAAGGTTTTCATAAAAAAAAATTCATTAATTGGTTTATAAATTGTTTGGGCTGTAGTGAATAATATTTTTCTTCATTAGTACTAATTTGTATAATTTACCAATGTCAACAGAACTATTTTATATTTGAAAACTTTTATTTAACAAGAAATACAAAAAATGTACATTGTTTATGTACATATTTCATGCTACATGTTATACTTGTGTAGCTACATAGTGAGTAAGCTTGCACTGCACGAGCACGTTGTTGTGATTAACTAACTCTTGACACGGACTTGTTTATTTTGACTGATCCTGCAACCACTAGTTTACCATGAATGTATCTATACAATAACTTTTTAATGTAGTAAGTGTATCTTCATGAAATTTGGCAAGCTTTTAATAAACATTACATAAAAATTCAGATTTAAATAAGTGTTTTTACTAAAGTCAAAGTTTGGCTCTTGCTAGTCTGAGTGCAAAGTGATTTTCATGTGCATAACCTCTAAAACCTAAATGAACATAACTTTTTTTTTTAGAAAACTTTTTCTCTTCCCTAACACTGTTTGAATGCACTTGATTTGATCAACCTTGTAACCACCACACAAAAGTGAATTATGTAGATTGTAACTATTTACAATAATTACTATTATTTGTTCTCAACAGCTTCTAGGCCTGTGTACATATGTTTTTGTTTAATTTTATTGTTTTATTGCCCTTTGATCCATGTCTAGCTAAATTCCATGATCAAAGCTGTAAATTACATTACAAATGCTTAGCTCAAGTTACACTATTGAATGATGTAACACATGAGCTAGCTGCAAGTATACCTCCTAAATAAATTTTTTCTTCATTATTTAACCTTTTTCAATTTAGTTTCTAACTTTTACATTTTAGTAACTTTTATAAAAATTAGTAATTGCATTTGGCCTCTTGTTGATATGCTATTTGACAACCAGTAAGCCTACTCTTTTTTGTAATCATGGTAATAATACATTAAGTGCATTTTATTTACTTCATTTACATATTAAAGAATACAAACTAATAACACACACACACACACACACAGAGCAAACAGTGTCCTATAACCATTATTAACTCTCTCACTACTGACCTAGTAACCATTTTGTGCTTGTTATAGTTTCATACTATAACTTTTAATGTATTATGCGTATCTTCACAATTTTACAGATCATCCGTAAACATTACAAGGTTTCATGCACAAAATATCAGATTTTTTAAAATTAAGTTTTAAGATTTTTCATAATGATTTCCTCATGCATTTTTTCTTTTGAATGCTAACTGTCCAACATCTAGAGTAATTTTAATTTTAAGATTAAAAATACTTTCATGTGTCAGAAAATTGTCAAATCTCACATAAGAAACTTCTATAACCTCCAGATAATTGTAATGTTTTGTTTTAGAAAAAAACTATATTTTATCTGTTATTTTCACAATTGTATCTCTGTATGGGTTTGGTTGATTTGACCAACCTCATAACCACCATTAAAAAAAAAGTTAGGAAATAAATATAAATCATTACGCTTTATTCATTCTAGGATGACTAAAAATTATAATATTGAACCCCCCAAATGTTTAGTCTAAATAGCTTAAATCTCGTAACATTTTATATATTTTTATTTATTTTATTTTATTGGCCTTTCAGCCATGTCTGACTAATATTACAGAAGTTGCAATGATGTGGTGCACATGCACAGGGGAAAGAGAGATAGTTACACCAGTACACCTTTCTGAACAATAAAATTATTAGTCTTAGTGTATATTTGTTCATACTTGTTCTACCATAACACTTCTCTCGTCTTGTTCACAAGGCATTCAGCATATTTTTTTATTGAAGAAGTGCAGCTGCTAGACATTCCCCATCCCTGTACTTTACCATAATAGTTAGCTCCAGTGCTTGGAAGAAGCTGCTACATATCAAGTGTTGTTGTTTTTTATTATTATTATCATAATGAAACAACTTTGCAATAGGTATTATATAAATCAAAATATTGGATTTTTCATGTGAGTGATACTTAATGTGTGATTAACTTTCAAACATTGTTTATTCTGTCAGTGCTTGAATGTGAATCGTTAGAACTATCTACAACTTTTATTTTATTTTTTCATTTTATATATATATATATGAGAGAGAGAGAGAGAGAGAATTGTTTCTGGAATTTAAATGCTTCTGCTGTTATTTAACTACCTTCAGTGACTGAAATCATTCTTATAAAACTGTACTTGGGAATTTAAGTTTCTGCTGGTCATGCTATTATATACCTAAATAGGTCTAACTCTTAATACTAGATTAGTTCCCCTCCCTATTTTAATTCTTGGCTCTACTATTCTTGAAAATATTGGACTCTAATGAGTGTACACCTGACCATGTGTAGAACTTGGAAAATTGAATCTCCTCTCAGTTAAAAGTATTTTATTCTTTTCTTTCTCTCTCCTTACACTCATAAGGTATGTTTAGAATTGATATATTTCTGGAAATTAAGCTTTTACTGTATGTTTTTGTAGGTGATTGACAAAAGTCTGTATGTTTCCGAATATCAAGTAGAAGAAGAAGATGAAGGAAATGTGAGCAAGTAGGCCATATATACTACGAATCTTTGTTCATGAGGTAAGGGAAATCCTAGCAATTTTATTATTTTATAGATTCTCAACAGCTGCAAACCCATCACTTAACACTTTTTTTGCCCCCGTCCCAGTGGCTCAGCATTAAGTATAATGGCTTATAATACTAAAAAACGGGTTTTGATACCCACATTGTACAGAACATAGATAGCCCATTGTGTAGCTTTGTGCTTAAACAACAACAAAATGACATTGTAAAAGAATCTATATAAATATAATAGCACTCTGTTCTATGGCCATGTAACTACTTCGCAGGATGTGGATCTTCACTAAAATTGTTATGGAGGTTCAGTATTGCATTTTTATGGCCATTTTTGCAGTTTTTTACCACTACTTTGTTCCCTGTTGATGGATCTTCACCAAATATGGCATAAAGGTTTGTTTGTTTCACATTTTATGTTTTGCAGTTTTTTGGGCATTTTTCTCAATTACATATAAGGGAAGCAACTTTTCATATCCTAAGATAACCTTTCGTTAATCATGAATTTACATTACTTCTGTCCAGGAGATGGGTACTCCAACTAGTACATATAAATATAATAATATTGTCTGTTCAATGTCCATATAACTACTTGGCAGGGTATGGAGGTTCATTAGCTCCATGCAGGGATACAAATTTTCAGTTTTGCATTTTGCAGTTTTTATGGTTGTTCTTGTGTTTGTTTTACCCCTTGTTGATGGATCTTCTCTAAACTTGGCATGAGGGTTTGTTGGGTCCATGCAGAGATACATGCAAATTTGTGGTTTCACATTTTGTTTTGCAGTTTTTTTATGGACATTTTTTTAGAATTACATTATAAGGGAAGCAACTTTTCCTAAGATAACCTTTCATCAATTATGAATTTATCTAACTTCCATCCATGGGATGGGTACTAAAGCTAGTATATAAATAAAGCTTTTAGATCTGAATCAAAGTAATGAAATTCATTGTATATAGAAAAGAGCAGAGAGTGATTAAAAATAGGTATAAATGAACTCCTTTGTGTTTGTTAAGAATAGGATTGTTTTTGTTTTGTTTTTCAATTAATAGCTACTTTTATATTTTGTCCATTAATGTTGTCTTCTCTAATGAGGATTTTTACCTGAGAAGAATCAAAAGAATGATTTTTACTGGACATGTCTTCAAAAAACATGAGATGGAGATTTTAAGTGAGTAGATAGTTGTCTATCAGTCGCACCAGTATAACAGTTTTTGCAATCTGTACATTCAATTGGATAGCAGTTGACCTGGCTTGCTTGCTTGCTGCTGCTGACTTTTTTTCTTTCTTTCTTCAGGTAAAAATGTGGAATTTTACTTTAATGTCAATTTCATACTCTTTGACTGTTTTTAACCAGGTTTTTTTTTATACCTTTAGATGTGTGGGATGAATGGTAAAACAAAAAAGATACTGGGATATATTCAGAATAATAATTTTCTATGTCAATTTGTGGCTTATTTTCAAAAGAAACAATTACTTTTTTAACAACAGTGGGAGGGGATTTGTTTTTTACACTAAACTGAAATCTAAGGTTGTCATTTTCTTTTTTTGAAACAATCGATGCTGGAATTTACTTTTGAAGTATATAATTCAAAACGACTATATTAAGATTTAAGTGTTAGACATGGTTTTTTACCGGTCATATAAGTTTGGTCAAGAATTAAAACTAGTGAGTCACCAGGGTTGTTTTTGAGATTTGTGTAAATGCAAAGAAAAAAAATTTCTTCAATTTATATACAGTTTGTTACCAATGGCATGGAATACTAAAAGAAAAAATCTGCAAGTTGTTTTTTTTTTTAATTTTATTCTGATGACAATATTTTATATCGAAAGAGTATTAAAGTTACAGTAAATAGTATTTGTTTTAAATAACATTATAAAAGAATTAGCCTTATATTCTACGATTTTAGTTGGGATGGTGTAGTTAGTTTTAATAATTAAATTAAAATTTGTTACCTTGTTAATAGACTTAACATATAATGTGATACCAAATTCCTTGGTGATACCACATTTACATATGGGTGATTAAGTGTATTTTTCTTCATGGAAGAATAATTAGAGATACTGTGATGTTAAAAAAAATGTTAACCTTTTACTTAGTGAAAGAATTATAAAAATTCATTAGTATAAAATATGAAAATAATATTTCAATTGAGTTAATTTCATAGTTTGTTTGTTGTTGAAGGAGGTGTCTGCAAATTATCATATTAGGTGCAGTGCATTTTAATGAACTCTTCTATATTAAAATTATGGAAATTAACTTCTTGAGGTAAAGATTTGTCCAATTACATAAATAATAATAATAATAATACCTATTAATTAATTTTGGTAAATGGTTGAATTCTTTGCAGCCATTAAGAGGATTAATGTGCTCAGTTGAGAGTGGCTTGTAGTACTATGAAGGGCTTTGGTTTATGTGTATAGGATGCTCTATTTTTAATGTCACTATCTTACTCCTATACTTCCTTACTGGCAGGTCCTAGATAGTAAGCCATAGATTTGGAGCTGTATAACCATTATGTAAGCTGCAGTGAAAACTTTACAATCGTGGCAAATATTTTGAAACAAGAAATCATAAAAGAAAATTACAAATATGTTAGACATGATCATTTGGAAATGGAAAGAACAGTCAGTATTTATACTGAAGGGAGTAGGACTTTCAAATACTTGGTACAATGATAAAGTTGAACTCTTGAACCAACCTTAGCTCTATGTACTTTGCAAGAAGCGTATAGATCTAGAATTACTTTGACATTATAGAGTAGAGCTCTAGAGCCCACCTAAGAGCAGAATCTTGTGGGTTTTTAACATACCTTTTAAATTGGAAATGAAGCATGAAACACTGACGAAAAAAGAAAAATTGGAATCTGCACAATTACAAGTGTAAAACTGTTCTTGCATGTCCACATTATAAAAGCTTGTTAAACATACACCACTATCATTCAGTAACTTTCATATAATGTGTGAAGATTTCAGGCTCTTTCTGTCTTTAAGGGGGGATTATATAATGAGCAATTTAGCAGAAAGTGTGACAACAGACATACTGTATCATTATTTAAACTTCTTAAAAGTTTTGAAAGATTAAATTGGCTGCTTATGCTTTTATTTTTATTCTCACAAAACAATTTTTTTATCTTGTGTTATATACAATAATCTAAAAGTGTTAACTCTCTCAACACAGGCTCAGTCAATTTGACCAACTACGTGACCTCTTTGTACTTGTTTAAAGTCTTTATAGTTTTGATACTACTAACTTTTAATATTGTATATATATCTTCACAAAGTTTGACAGTCTTTGAGTAAACGTAAGTGTTTTATATACAAAAAATCATATTTTTTTAGTGAAGTATGTATAGTAAACTGGAAAAAAGATTTGTCCATGAATATATTGAGTGTTTTTACTAGTGTGCATACAAAGTGATTTTCATGATAAGATTAAAATTACTTTTCTTCATCTAAAAATCTTATGTTTCATTTGCGTAATCTTTAAAATCTCAGATACATGTCAAATGCTTGTTTTCAGTAAAACTTTATATTTGTAACATGAAAATCTCTTTGCACACAGACTATTCAAAACAAATACTAGACATAAAGAGGTCAAGTGGTCGGTCAAATCTACCGAGCCCGTGTTGAGAGACTTAAACACAGGAACATGAATTTTTGTTCATTATTGTATTAAAAAGAATTTTTTTTGTGATGTTGGTTACAGCAACACTTAAAAAAAGTAATTTTTACATTATGAAATTTAGCATGAAGCACTTCTTTACAAATAGTTTTAGAACTAAGAATACTAGAAAATCATTAGTGATGATTGAAGAAATACTTCCATTTATATTCTGATCATACTTTTTTTTTTCCTCTTCAGTAATGTGCAAACTATCATTTTCACTGTAATCACTCTACGACACTCTTTTCAAATTATCCTTTTTCATATTTTTTCACTCGCTTGCTTCAGTGTCAGTTGCCAATAAGTCAAAGCACTAGTGTGAAAATTGAAGATTAGGACATTTTTAAAATTAAAAAAAAAAAAACTAAAAGAAAAGTAACAATAAAAATGGATTTTTGACACACAGATAAATGAAACTAACTGAAATTATGAGAAATGCAAATTAAGATGTTTGCATTGGAGATGGCTTCAGTGGTGCCCTCCCACACACTAGGATCACCCGTATAATGGAGGGAAGATAAATATCAGATTTTAATTTTTAGTGGTAGTAATTTTCACTTTTAATTTTCTGCAGTTTTAGATTTTTTTTAAATCGGTCTTTTTCAAAATAAGGAAAATTATTTTATATATTTATAGTGACAGAACTAAACTTCACATCTACAAGTGTTAAGTTAATTTTGAGTAGTTGGTGGTCATTTAGAAATAGTTGATAGTTTAAATTTTATTATAGATCTCTAGACAGATACTGATTTATAACATGCTTGTTTTTAAACATTTGTTGTAAGTAACCTTATTTTCTTTTTTCTTTTACAGAAATATTTTCTTGACTAGATAAAACTCTCAAGAAAAACTTAAGTCCAATACACCATGATTCTTGACAGTCACCGCTTGCCACTTGTACAGTTAAATGTTTTTTTTTACAACGTTTGAGTTCAGAAATATTTATTGGTTTGAGCTTGTGAAGGTTGCAAGTAATACTGTAGCCTGGAAGGTTGTACTCATTAATATCAAGTTTTGCTGTAAATAGAAAAATTTAGCTTGACATTAATAACTGTAATCTTCCTACACAGTCGGTGTTCAGGAAACAAGTCCAAAGTGAAACTTGTATTAAATTGAATAAAACTTTAAAGAGAAACAGTATGATAAAAAATAAAATAAATCACTAAAATAATATTTTCTCGCTTTGCGATGAAATTGAATTTGTAAAACCATCATAGAATGTAGGTTTTTTGTATTCAGTTTGCACAAAAAATCACATTTAACCATCATTCATATGTGGTATGTTGCTGTTTTCGACATCCATATGAAACTTTGTACATAGATTCATTCTGGGGCTTTGCTCAGCCACAGGTAAACTTAGTTGATAATGTAAAAATTGTTGTCTTTCATGTAAATGGCATTGACTATCTGGTGAAGAGAGCATAAAAGTTTGAGTAAATTAAAAAATTTAGTTTTGTTAATTTTGGAGAAAAAAATCCTGTTTCAATAAAAACAAACCTTGTAGTCATTGCCAGTATGTTTGTAAATTTTCTACATGTATTTTTGTAATATTGAAATTGATCTTTTCACAGTGAGGGTGGTTGTCTTAAAGATTGGGTTTTGTCCCTTCCTTATATGCAGTTTCAAATAAAAACAAACAAAAAAAATGACTAAAAAAAAAGGAGTAGGTGACCTGAAGTTCTACTGCAGAAGCAAGTTGGTGAAGTAAATGGTCATTGTATTTGAAATTGGAATCCTTTCTCTAAGAGAAACCACCCTCACTGATTTAAATTTGCAGTCAAAAGACAGTTTTAGAATTGCACTTGGAACAAGATGAACTTAAGCGAAATGAAAGTGTTTTGTATCTTTGGACACTGGAGAAAATGCAAGAACACGTATCTGTGTAGGTTGTGATTTATCAATGATTCTGTACACATGGGAATTTCCAGAACCAAGTGAAATGTGCGTGTGCTTATGTTAGTGAAAGAAGAGGAAACTAAAGTGCAAGTATTTCATTTACTTGAAGGGAAAAAACTGACTTCATCGAGAATTAAAGAACTAATGTCTTGTCTATGCAAGTGTAATGAAAACTGTTGAGAATTGCAGAAGTTAAGAAAGAACTTCAGGTCTTCTACTGCCCTTGGCTAGTTTCAGGTAAGGTAAATGTGCAAAATTAGATATGTTAATTAGAGACAATTTGAAGCTAACCAAGTCAATATTAATTCCAACTTTAAAAATATTTACCTCACCTGAAATTGGCCTTTCTTCTACAGATATGAACACTAAAAGTTTGTGATACTGAGCTTTAATTAATGATATTTGGCACCAAATTACAGCAACTGCTTTAATTTTTGTAGTGTTTAAAGAAATCCATATTAGACTGGTGTTAAAGTATAGCATGAGGAAAATTACCATAACTCTTGGTGTCATGCACCAATTGGCCATTTGCTTGATATATTGTAGAAAATGTAATGACCATTATCTGTTTGACATCAGGTAAATAGTTAAAATAACTGCTATTTACCAAATCTACTTCCACAATTTGTAACTTTACAGTCATGTTTATCATTATGTAAAGTATCAAGCACATGAACTTTTAGTTTGGGCTGAATGCTTGGTAATTGGCCTCCTTTGGCTGTCCATAGTTCATATCTTGAGTGGTTTAGACTTAACAGTGTGACCTGCAACACAGTTTTGCATACAATTATTATTAGTCACCTTAAAAAGTTACTATCTTGATGTAGTTAAGTCTAAGAAATGATGATAGGCCAAACCATATACTTTATACCCTGGAAATTAGGACATTAAGCTTTAATTCTATATCTTTCAGTCTTCAGAGTAACCTATTTTTCCAGGGTATATATTTCTCAATTTTGACATATCAGATTAAAATGCAAATGATAAATATTTAAAATTATCTAGAACATAGCAAGTTGAGTAAATTGGCATTAATGAAGCATAATTTCAGCAACAAGCAAGAAGTTGGTAATAGTAGTAGTTTGAATATAAACATAATGAAATATGATTTGGTTATAAATAATAACTTTTACCTTGATGCCATTTACCAAATCTACTTCCACCATTTTTAACTTTACAGTCCTGTTTATCATGATTTACTGTGGAGTTCTGATCATGACTTTTATTTAACTCTATAGTAAATAGTGTCTGCTTGACTTGCCAAAAAAAAAGTTGGAGTTGTGAATCTTGTTAAATATTAGTGAGTTGTAGTTGGCAGTCACCAGTCAACTAGGAATTAGTTATTCATTATACATTTGAAAGTTACTCCGAACTAAAGTTATTCCAAATTCAAGAATGTGCATTTGTCATTAAAGTATCAACAATATAAAACATGAATACAAAACTGTATAAACTAGGACAAACTTCAGTGATGTATCTAAAATTTGATTTAGCAGCTAATTGTTTAGGATTTTGTTTTGGACCTCCCCCTAAAGCAATTAAATTAAGACTTACACGTAAATATAAATTAAACGTATGGGTATTTAAGGCTAAAATAAAGATCAACATGTATTTCTGTCTTTGTTCTTTTTATAGAAACTGATTTTTATTTCTTTGTAATTTGAGCACAGAGAACTTCTTTTGAAAAATAGTAAACCTAATGTGAAACCTGTATTGGTGTTACAGAATACTTTTGACAACAAATATTACTGTAGGTTTAAAGATAATTTTAAGTCAAAAATTATCTAGGTTTGCTGTTTCTCACTAATTTTTAAAAGTCAATGTGATTTTATTTTCAAAAGTAAATTATTTGGCATTTAATGTAAATCTTTTTATGTGTTTGTCAAAAATACTTGATTTAGAAATGTTGATATATTTTTAACATGTTTGAATTTAATATCTGTACTGAAATGAAGATGGATGGGTTCTAAATATATGTAGTTATTAAAACTACTTAATTAAATCTGGGGGGGAGAAGTTTTAGAAGGCATAATAAATACCACTTCTTGCTTGAGTGTCTCTTTTCTGTTCTAAGGTTTTTAACATCTAAACACAAGTACTGGCATTATAATTAAAAAAGAAAAATTTACATAGACACGAGCATATATATATACACACACACACACGTGGCTCATTATTCAATGGGATTGGTTTTAACTATACTTTTTAGTGACATTTAAACAGTTCAAATATGCTATGATTCAAGGTAATACTAATTTTAAAAAATAAACTGACAAGAACACCTGTTAATCAACAGGAAATCTATCCAGGAATGGAAAACAACCTTGTACTTCCACCACATGCAGTGTTCATTTTATTTAAAAGCCTATAGTTTGATCTCACGTGCAAACCATCAGAAGTCTCAAAACTTCAAATTATATGTGATCTACAGTATTCACTCTTAAGTGGTTTACCTTCATGGACTGTAAGAATCAAGAAAACAATTGCAAATAACCACAGACAGATCATGAAACTGGCTATTAAGACACATACTATAAGCAGTACCTCATAGGTGGGTGATTGGAATTTAAATGTCCACTTGATATCCCTAAGAAAAAACCCATATATACACACACACACACACACACACACACACACACACACACACGCACACACACACTAATTTAGTAACTAAAAATCACAGAA